TTTCCTATTGGTCCAGCAATCAGGAACTACTCCACTCAAATTATTATGTGATAAATCCAACACTACCAAGTTGCTTTCTTTGTCACTCTCTTGATGGCACAATAATGAGAAAACAGATCCCAACAAAGAGTTGTGAGATGCATCAAAGTAAGAGATATTTGCTAGTAATGTGTGATTAGATATGTCATCATTGATCAAGTTGTTTAAGAGATCAACATAATCCATTCCTACTACAAAAATCCAAAATACTTCTGCACAATTTTTGAAATTATTGCGGTTGAAATATCGATATATCTTAAAGACCGTTGTGTATATAACCATGTTAGACCATTAGGACCAATGCCTGCATTACCCATCCACAACATCTCAAGTTGAAATGCTGAGACCTATTTAGGATCAATATAAAATTCAAAATTTGTTGAACTTAAGTTCAAAAATGTTAAATTTGAGAGATTGGAAAAATTCCTTTCTATAAGAGCACCAACCAAGAAATTGTGTCCAATGCTTAAATGATCTAAGCTGTGGAGTTGTCCAAAGATTCCTGAAAGATTGCCACTCAATTGATTGCAGGCCAAGTTTAAGTGGAACAAGGAAGAAATATTTCCAAGAGATGATGAAATTATGCCATCGAACAAATTATGAGAGATATAAAAGTTAAATAACTAATTTGTGTCATATATTTTAGCATCGACTTTTTGTTGTCACTGAAATTTTTTAGCCACAGTTGCTACACCAGCAACTTTTCAATAGCGACTTTTATATCTTTAGTTGCAACTTTTTGTCACCACTAAAAGTTAATTTTTTTTTGGTAATGAGTATTGAGCCACATCATCTAGTTATCATATGTTGTGGCCCCTCTTATCACGTGGTATCAATATTATTAATGCTCAATACCTTTGCTTAGCACTTGGAAGACATCAAATTGTATCCCACTAACGAGCGTGTAATTTACTTTCCTTCTCTTTCTATTCCCTTATCTTCTAGCCTTTTTACGCGGCTATTGAAAAGCAATGGCAGCTTCGTTCTCTTGAGAAAAAAGTCATTCAAAAGGTAAATTATTCTTAAAAATTGCTGGGAAGGTCCCTAAAGTTGATTAAATGGCTTTGTTTCCAAAGCTTTATAGAATTATCGCTTGGTAGTCGGTATATATACTATATACATATTTCTTGAGAAAAGTGATTAATTAAAAGCAATGGGAACTTAAGACTCTTATAAGAAAAGTTAATTTAGATTTTGAATGACTTTTCTCAACAGTTATAATTAAAGAAAGTGACTTACTTTTTTATTTTAGCGGGTATTTGATGACTTTCTCTTAGTGCGGTGCCCAAATACTGCCTCTACTATTTAATATAATAGCTAATTGGCGTGTTGAATTTCATCTTAAATATAATATATCAATATACTTAGTCTTTTATTTTTCCCCCTCAAAATATCCCTATTAATTGTAAAGGGTTTCACTAAGGGATAATTTCAATAATCCAATGTACATGATTAAAGATGATAGTTTAGGGAGCCTAACACACATTTGTGACAAATAACCAACTTAATTAATTTTCTTAATATTCCTAAATTAATTATCTAGCTTTTATATTAAGAACTGAAAGTAGTATTAAACACAAAAAATCTTTAATAACAAAAGCCTTCACCTAGACACAAAAATTGTAAAACAATTGAAAAGCAATGGCTGCCCCTGACTCCGGATAAAAGTCCTTCAAAAGTTAAATTGAAGCTAGTGTTAAAAATTGCCGGAAAAATCCTAAAAAATTAATTAAACCATGGAACACGCATCAACCAAACAATATGATGTTTTATTCATCACCATTAATAATTAATAATCAGTTAAAAAAGTTAAGGTAATCATCAACTATACCAACCAGCGTCTAATTTACTTCGTTCTTTTCGCCTCATATCTTTAATTATTTCGAAGACTAAATTTAGTTGTGTATTTTCCTTCATTACACACCATAATGGAACAGAGAATCTCAAGTGTCCAGACAGAATGTTATTATTAGATCCTCTAAGCCACCAGCTTTATGGCGATTCATTGTGTTGAAAGCTCCAAATTTTGATATCTTCAACATAATCCAAATTAATATTCAGTAGGCCAACATGCCTATAAATCTTACAGATTACAACATTCATGTGCCCTTTCGTTTTCATTTTTACTTGGTTGTAACTCATAACACATGATCAAAGTTTAAAGTAAAATCACACATCACATGGAACACTATTCATCACAGGTTTCTACACATGCACAGTAATAGCCATTATTGCAGCATGTTCTCTTCTCACAATTCAATAGACAACAATAGAGTCCTTGACAATGCGTAATAGCAGCAGAACTCCTTATTCCTTGAAGCAGAACTCAGTATTTGAATAACAATCAGAGTGGTTTTTAAATAAATTAAAGGCACCTAATTTAAATGATAACAATACTTGAAAATCAAGGAAGCTAATTTATTAACTCAGCTAAGCTTTTGGACAGAGGGCCCAGGCAACATAAGGTTGATTTATCTAATGATCAGACCATCGGAAAAATCTGTGTCTCCATGCTTTGATAAGGAAGAGAAAACCACGAATTCCCCGAAAGGATATCAATTATTTGATACATGTTAGATTCTTTTTTTCCCCCTGATTTATACTTTTTTTTTGGGCCGCACGTTCAACATCTTGGAGTTAATTTTTTTTATTTTTTTTCCATGATTTAATACGTGTTTTATATAGTAATACTTCCTTTTTTTTTACATAATTGTTTTGCAATTCAGATCATGATCAAGCTATAACAATTAAGGAACTATAGCAGTATCCCAGTAAACAAAACGTCAATTAATGTATAGGGAAAAAATATCAAAAGATTAAGTCGACATTTAATTCCTCATAAATTGCCCACATCAAATTATGGGGATCTTTTTTGCTGGAAAAGAATTAGAGGGGTCTTTGTTTCCAAGTAAACGTAGTAATTGCGTTCCTTCAATCCCAACCGTGCAGCTGTGTTTAGGGATCTAATGTATGCAAATTGCAATAGTACTAGATTAGTATCCCACAAATGGCGAAATAAAATGAATGAACGCCATGTGGCTCAAAATATGCTTTAAACCAGACATGCGCTACTTTTTTGGCTAATTAAAGAGATACACAATTAAAATGCTGAAAAGAAATAATCTTCCAACTTAATTTTCCATGAGATGGCATCTAGCTGGCTAAGTTTCTCTAACTATTCAAACAAAATTTTTCTGTTCATTTTTTCAATTATGTTGTTATTGAAGCAGGATTAAAGCTCTTCTTACTAATTGGAGGATACAAGATCTATTCTATTGTGTAAATATATACTTCTACTTACTTTTTTGTGATGATTACTGCAATGAAATCAAACAATTGATTACAGAGAAGTGAAATCATTTTCCCCATCGTGAATGTTTTCTAAGAATTTTTCATTGTGTGTTGCACAATTTTGTACTACAATTACGTGGCTCAATGAAATGTTGGGAAAATCATGCTTTCTAAGAATTTTTCACTCTCACTGTGATGCTAAAATGTGTCCTTCACTTGCTGTGGTCCATATGTAAGTAGATTGTTGCTTATTTTATTCTAAAAGTTTTCGTGCAATATATAAATTTAATTATCAAAGTTAGCCGAGTCATTACTAATTTAGTTTGCACGACTATATTTATAAGTTGTGCAATATATGTTTGAATGCTAATGTGACTTTTGGTGGTTTATGCGGATCAGTGCTTTACTTGCCTGATTTTGATTGTTTGAAAATATATTTCGGTGCTTATAATTATTCGGCAATTGCTGAAAATTAATATTTCATGATATGTTGAATATTATTAATTGTATATAAATTCTAATCATTATGATAGCATATGTATTATGCCATCTTGTTCTGTTGAAGTTGCTTTGAAAGTGTTTTAGACTTTTGATTTTAGTAATGTTAATGCATTTTGTGCATCGCACGGGATAGTAAATACTCGTTTTATAAAAATATATAATTTTTTCGGTGTAAACATACATAAAATTTTCTTTAAATTATATTAATTTCAATAGTATATCTTAAAAATACACTTAGCACACAGTGTTACTCAACTCTAAAATTATTTTTGGATACTTTATGTTTCTAAAAAAAATATTTCAAAGTACTGTACCAAAAGTTATTTTAAGATACTGGGTGCTCTTGAAAAAAAATTTGAGAGTGTTGAGTGTATTGTTAAAATATTGGGTGGAACCGAAAAAATATCTTATGGTGTTGTCAAAAATTATTTTAGTATACTCTCTGCTCTTGAAAAAATATTTTAGGGTGCCGACTATATTTTAGGATAGGATAATGAGTGCTATAAGAAACATAATTTAGGATACTAAGTATATTAAAAACTATTTTAGAATATTCAGTGTCTCTGAAAAAATATTTCAGAGTACTGAGTGCACTTTTAGGATATTGAGCATTACTGAAAAAAATATTTTATGATGCTAAGTCTATCAAAAAATTATTTTAGGATATTAGATGCAACTAAAAAATATTTAATATACTGAACATTGATACCAGATGGTATTTAGCGGGGAAAAAACATTGAAAGCTCCTTTTTTTTTTTTTCCCACCCAAAGCGAGGTAGTTTTGGACAGAGGAGAGCAGCCACAGGAAGACGCGTAAAAGAGACGGGGATTATTTAGGATCAGTATGCATATAATATGAATGATCAATAATTCAACGTGGTTGCTAATGCCATTTTTTCCATGGAGGGATTACGTAGGGAATATAAAATTTTCATGCTATTCAATAGTGATATTAATGCCCCCTACAGTGCAGAAACAGGGAAATGATTGTGCCTCAATAATGTAATTGGATCAATCAAATGAGCAAACTTCGTTATTTAATAACCAAGGCATGACTCCATTATTCCAAACCAAAATGAAAGTTTTGGCCAAAAAAAAGAAAGAAGAGAGAGCAATCACGTGGGACACTATTCATCAAAATCAAAGTAAAAAATTTCCTTTTTTTTTTGTTGCCAGAAATATTTGTATTCATATCCATTAAAAGTAACAAACGAAACACCAAAGTACAACCCAGAAAAGTTATAACTGGAATGAAAACCAACAAAATATAGAAACAAAACACAAGCACCAGGGAAAAAAAAAAATACAAGCATAAAGGAACACTCTTCAACTGAACAATGCAAGCCAAATCCCAATACTTCAAACAAGAACAGCTGTAGAAGGTGGTAGTCCCAAAGACTTGCTCAACAACTGAGCCCAATTTCTTTGACGCCAATGCTGCATCCACAATGGCAGCTTTAAACCGCTCCCTTGAATCAAGAGAGGAAGAGTGTTGCTGAAAGCCAAAAAAAAGAAAACCTCCAGGACAACAAGCATAAGAAATCTAGACCTTGCATCATTCTGTCCAAGAGCACCAACAAATAAACACAACACTTTTTTTATAACCAGAGAAATAAGAAGACAATCCCCTCCTCCAGGTGGAACCCATCTCAAATCATCCTGCTTTTTTAAAACAACTTGACCAGAGTTTGCAAAAGATCTTCTCTTCCGGGTAATAAGAGAGAACGAACTCAAAACAATATTCATCTCTGTTAACTCAACATCCTCATAATTAGCACACAGAGGCCACATTAGACTTTCAGATAGAAGTATAACAATCGGTTGAACAATTTCGTACCATGACAAATTCATTCTTATGTGAACCTCCTTTCTTTCCATTACTTTTCCACATAAAGGATAGTTAACAACATTCCAAAAGCTCTCTTCAACCAGATCCATTGCATCAAATTGATCCAAATATTCAACAAATAGAGTCGGACAAAGCAAAAATTATCATGCCTTAGGATCATTAGATTTTGATATTCTTCATCAACATAACAGCACATTCCTGGAGTTAGTAAGCATATTTGCGATAGAGGTAGATTCGACCAAACCTTACATTGTTTCGCATTGTCAATTCGGAAAAACAGAGCTCCGATGTTGGTGTTATTCCAGTAGAGGCTGCTCTGAAAATTTTCTTCTATTAGCGAGACCTTAGCTTCCATAGGCATCGTCCGATCATTCTCATTTTTTATCAATCTCTGCACAATGATCCAAGGTTCCCTCGACCTCCATTGCTCAGGTGTTCGTTCTGCTAGGGATATATCTTCAATTGATTTAGCTCCACCTTGGCTATCATCTTCCTTCTTTAATTTCACAGATCTATACGCACAATACACATCACAAAATGGCCTCTCCCCTGCCTCAATCATTATTCCCAACGGCCTCACAGGCACACAACATCAACACACACACACGTCCTCCACTCACACACGTTGCCGGACGTCCTCTCCCACGGCAGTTGCCGGGGAGAGGTACTGAAATAGATACTCCCACTCACGGAGAGAAATAGGCTCCCACAAGGGTAAACCCTAGGAGAGAAAGGAAAGGGGAAAAGCCCCCCAAAACTTTCTTAATTTTAAAGTCAAAAATTTCTTCGAGACACACACACTAGTGACCATTATTACAACATATTCTTTTCTCACGCTATTCTTTGCCACAAACTCCTATGCCGCTTGTTCCGAAACAAATATCAAACAAGTTAAATAATCCTTATACTTGATCCTCTTATACACTGCCTTTTCCTTCTCTCCAGAAACTCATTTGCAGGACCTGTTTCGCCTTCAAAGCCAGTTTATAAGACCATCAAAGTGCAATGACTACTTTAATGTTCAACAAGAGGCCACATTTGCGTGTTGATAACAGAGGCTTGGCAACATTAGTCGACGATGTTATTGTCGACGATGACGATTCAGCCATCGTTTTTCTCGATCCATCATACATGGCACCATTATTATGATGTGTTTGACACTGTCAAGTCATTATTCTGTTAATATAAGCCCACATGGGGACTTTTACAATCACTACTTAAAGGATATTCCATCGAAAAAGAAACTGGCATAAGTACACACAGATATTCTGATAAACCATTATTACAAACTCTTATTTTTTCACTATTTCACTAAATTTAAGATAAACAAAGAACATTAATTAGAAGGAAACATTGGAGCTCTTAGCCAAGTCTAACTGCAGCAAAGCATCCCCGCTATAATTCCCTGAAGTAGAATATGAGACGTGAATTTGAGACAAAGGATTGGGAAAAGTTGTAGATATATAGATCAAATCTATCTTCAAAGATGTTGCACCCACTGCTTGATCTACTGCACTTGCGTCCCATAGATAAAGCATGTTGAACAATAAAGAACATAAGGGGAAAAAAAAAAACCAGTTAAGAACAAGTCACATGGCCTAGGGAAGGGAATGCTGTGATCTTTGTAATTAAATTGGCTCTTTCCGCTCACCCGGGATAGGATACTGTCGCCTCTGTTGTTTTTTAGGTCTGGAAGAATGAAGAAATTTGATGGCTTTCCTTGGACGTGGAATATCCAAGGCATCTGACGGCTTTCCATAATTTGAGTTTTGATTGTCAAAGATATACTTTAGAAATACTCCTTCAAAAGTTGTTTCTCTGGCCAATTAAGGATGTAAAAATGAAATTCTGTTACTTCTGATTGGGAATAACTTTCACTGACCTATGACATACTAATGTAAATCCTCATGGTCCCTCCTGGTCAAGAAGATTACAAACATTGGGCATCCAAGTTACCAACAAAATTTGAAATGGCCAACAAAGTTCAGCTTTTAGAGTATATGGATAATGGTCCAATGCACAATCACCTGTTCATAAACATCAATTCGATTTCATTTGCAGCCCCAAATACGTGTTTACGGAACAACCTACATCAAACATGTTAATAATGAAGTATATAATATGCAGATCATCAAAAAGCTGATTAATAGAGTGATGCACACAGTACAAGAAAAAGAGAGATTTAGGGGAGAGCTAACTGACTGAGGGAAAGAATCTAGAGAAGCAGAGACGGGAACATACTATTGATAATAATTTTAGTTATAAATTCAAGTCAGCCCAACAATAGCATATACATCTATCCTTAAATAGGCTAACCCAACCTGGCAATGCAATTCCTGCAAAAATCAATTCCTTTCTTCTTTATTTTGTTTCCTTAGTATGTCATAGGTCAGTGAAAGTTATTCTCAATCGGAAGTAACAGAATTTCATTTTTACATCCTTAATTGGCCAGAGAAACAATTTTTGAAGGAGCATTTCTAAAGTATATCTTTGACAATCAAATTTCAAATTATGGAAAGCCGTCAAATGCCTTGGATATTCCACGTCCAAGGAAAGCCATCAAATTTCTTCATTCTTCCAGACCTAAAAAACAACAGAGGCGACAGTATACTATCCCAGGTAACCGGAAAGAGCCAATTTAATCACAAAGATCACAGCATTCCCTTCCCTAGGCCGTGTCTTTATGTGAGATGTGTGTGTGCGTGTGTGAGCCAATTTAATTACAAAGATCACAGCATTCCCTTCCCTAGGCCGTGTCTTTATGTGAGATGTGTGTGTGCGTGTGTGAGCCAATTTAGTTACAAAGATCACAGCATTCCCTTCCCTGGGCCTAGGCCCTGTCTTTATGTGAGGGGTGTGTGGGTGGGTGTGTGTGTTTGTGTGAACAATTAGTTTTTTAAAGTTTGTAACAGGTTAAGAACAAAACAATCAACTAAAAAGCCATTTCTTTTTTTTTTGAGCTAATTTTTATATTGCAAATACCATCTTAAAATCTCTACTTACGCCTAAATTTAGACATGTCAAATTGTAAACCATAAAATTTTAGTTGTAAATTTGCACTAAGAACCAGTTGTAAATATAATCCCATAAAAATGTCATTCTCCTCTTACAGCCACGCTCAATTCGGAGGAGAGAAGAGAATTTCTTCTCAAGCAAATAAAAGTACTAAAAAAATTTGGATACTATTTCATAGCCCAATTGGTGAAATTTCGGGGAGCCATTCATCATTCTAGAACCTTCACGTGAAATCGTGAGTCGGTGCTCATCAGATCGCGTAAGCAATAAGGTTGACCGATTCAATGGTAATTACAAATTCTTTGTTTTCAAGGCGAGATTAGGTAAGTAAAATAAAAAAAATTTATTTTATATTGATATTAATGTCCTTTACAGTTCCGAAACGAGCACCGCCATGTAATTGGACCAATCAATAATAAAAGTGTAATATAGGAAATGTTAATAATGTAATTGTTTCTATCGATTTTCGCGTTCAGGAGTAGATTAGGTAGGGAATATTATATCTCAAGCTTTGTTTTTAGTAGTATTTTTCAATTTGACCAGTTAATAGCTACGTCTGCTTGTTAACTACAAAATTAATTAATTTTACCCAAAAGAAAAAAGCACTAGTATGCTACATTGTTTAATAGTGGGACTGATTATAATTTTTATGTTTTATACTGAGATTAATGCCGTGCCGGCCCCCTAATCATTTTGCCTCAATAATGTAATTGGAGGAATCAATCAACAATTTTACTAATAATTTTTTTGCAGGACAGTTTTACTAATGATATCCCATATAATCTTATTATTACATATTAATTTTGTTGGGTCTCGTTTCTACCTATAGCAGCATTTTTGGGGAAAAAAAAACAATACATAACAAATCAAAATAGACGTCACACTTACACCTTAAAAAAGGGGTGACGAGTTGAAATATGAGAAGACCATATTCTTTAGGCTTCATATGAGCAAAAATTTTTTTATTCATATATCTAGACTTACTTAGAATACTAAATAGAAAGCCTTGGAAAATATTTCATAGAATAAAGTCACCAGCTTTTTGTAGAAATTTTGACAAAATCTCCATCAAAAATTGGATTTCTCAAAAATTCTGCAAATAAAAACGGAGAAGGGCTAAGTCAAAAACTAATTAATACAGGAGTTCAAGTGTAATTAAGGGATCTTCCAAACCCTATTATTTGTTAATGACTCTGTTATTTCGCACAGGATAACCCAAAATGAAACAGATCATCTCAAGTATGTGGAACAGAGCAATCACATGAAACACTATTAATCAAAAGTTTCTTAACAATACGAGACACCCATACTACACGCACTAACCACTATTATTATAACATATTCTCTTCCCGAAATTCACTAAATTTAAGATAACAAAAGGGCATTCAATAGGCAACATCTGAATCTTTGACCACGCGTAACAGCACTCCTCAGCTTATTCCTTGAAGCAAACTCAATATTTGAAGGAGGGGAACGATCAGAGTAGTGATAGCTGTTTCACTTGCATCCCATATTGAAAAATAAACAAGATAGAACGTAGTCAGCTAAGAATAGAATGTTTTAGCAAGTAGAAGAAGATGCAATGGAAAAAAAAATATGAAACCTCATTAAAATAATAACATTACTTAAAAAATCAGGGCAGGTAATTTATTACCTTGAGGAAAATTTGTTATTGATATTCAACGGAAGCTTTTGAGACAGAGGAACAAGGCAACATAAAGTTGATCTGCCAAGTGACCAAACCATCGGAAAAATTTGTGTCTCCATGCTCTGATGAGGAAGAGAGAACCACAAACTCCCCAAAAGCCCACTGCAAATCCAACCCCCATGCCAAGATACAATGACTTTAGAAAGCTGTCATCTTCATCTTCTTCAGCTAACTTTGAGCCATGAGTTTCTTCCTTTTTGTTACACTTCTTTGGAAGAGGATCTCCACAAAGTTCGGAATTGCCAAGAAAACTCCAAGAATCAAAACTTTGAATTTGGGTTCCCGATGGAATTCGCCCAATGAAATTATTGTATGAGAGGTTCAAATAAGCAAGAAATGACAAGTTAGAGATGGTTGAAGGAATTTCTCCGAGAAGTTTATTGTAGCTGAGATCAAGAGATTCTAAGTATTTCATGCCTCCAATTTCTTTAGGAATTTTTCCAGTCAAATAGTTTCGAGACAAGTTCAAGGATAATATTTTACTCATACTAACCAGTTCTTCAGGAATTTCTCCAGACAAGCTATTAGCAGAAAGATCAATAATGCCACGTCCAAAACTTAGAAAACTATCAACTTGATAGGCTAATTTACTTCCTTTAGTAAATATGTGCACTATTGCAATAGACTGATCTATGATATAAGGTAGATATTTGGCCCAAAAAGGAAGATCAGATAGATGTTCGATGATGCGTAGGCAGTGAGGTATAGATCCAGAAAGCTTATTTTCAGCAAGATCGATTATGTTCAAATAAGAAAGTTCGCACAAGATTGTTGGAATATTGCCAGTAAATTGATTGGTCCTCAATTTAATAATTCCCAAATTCTCCGCCATTGGAATTGGCAAACTTCCAGAAAACTTATTTCGGTCTAAAAGCAAGTACTCCAAATTTGTCCAATTTAGCTTGTCTAATGAAAATTTTCCAAAGAAACCATTGTCACTCAAATCCAACTTATAAAGATTCAATGAAGTCAATGAAGCAGGGACTTTACCTGTTAGCTTGTTACTCCCC